TTAGCAGTTGAGCCAGTTTTTTAAATTGACTTCACGTTTCACTAAAAATTATAGAAGAGAAATGAAGTGTTAAGGCTCTAAAGTGAATCTTAATAAGGGTAGTGCAGCCATACAAACATACCTAATAACTGTCAAAACTAAAGAGCGAGTGTTGTTATGTAGACTCGAACGCTGAACCACCTAGAGCACTTGAACTCTCTTGACCACTACGTCACAAGCATACCTAAACATACCTAATAACTGTCAAAAGTATAGATCGAGTATTGTTATGTAGAATTGAACGCTGAATCATCTAGAGCACTTGAACTCTCTTGACCACTATGCCACAAAGGTGTCAAGCGGATTCATTATTATTTAAATAATTATTTTTATTTCAAATGATAATTAGATGTATACACAGTATATTTTCCAACAAAGCGGATTCATTTGAACCCTCTTTGATACACGTGGGTCCGTTCCTGACTATAAATCCGTAAGAATCACTTTCATTTCAGCAGACTATGTGACCTATCATAGTAACTGCTGATAAAACTCGTAATTGCTAAAGAATCTTGTAAATCTATAGGATTTCATTGGCAAAAAGTACATAGCTCCTGTTAGTTCTCATAAATTTAAGTGGTTTTGTCTATACTCTATAGCTTTGTGAATTTGATGCGGAAGAAGTTTATAGCATCATCTTACAAAATAATACTTTTTTCGTACTAATTTTTGTGGTACTATTTGATTATTCACAAAGTTTAAGAAAAAGATAAATATATTAAATAAAATTTGTAATATTAAACAAGTCTTGAATATATGTATAACTATAGATTATCATTTTAAAGGTTAAAATTTTAAAGTTTTTTTTTTAAAATATAAAAAGATACTCTTTTTGAAACAGACTAAAAATAAAAATATGTCATTGGTACTTTAGGAAGCACCTAGACACAAGAGGGGGAAGGGAGGAGTGAATTGTGTCGTACTCAATTTTCGCGAGTCACAAACCTGGTTCTTTGACGTACCTGATTTAGACACAAATAGTTAGTAAAGTGTGGAAGAAAAAACCACGACCTACCCTCATATGATTTGCCTTCAAAACTTCACTAACCTCAAAGATCAATTTTAGGTTGCAGTGCAATTACCAAGGGGATTAACTCTCGTACCCTACCCCTCAATCAACTCGATTGCAGATAAGTTTTAGGTTACGGCTCTATAACTAAGGAGACTAACTTTAGTACTATTCTCCTACAATCAACTCAATTGTAGCTAAACTTTAAGTTACAACTTGATAACCAAGGAGACTGACTCTAGTACCCCTACTCTTTAATCAAATCAAAACTCTAGAACTAATGATATATGAATAATACTTCTCAAAAGCAAAATAGGTTATAATTTAAGAATAATGAATTAAGACTCAACAACTAAAGAACTAAAACAATTTCATCCTATGGACCAAGTTCTTCAGTTGTATAGTTTGAATTCTTGGAAGCATCTTCTTGCTATGAATAATATTTTATTTGGATGATTCTCGGTATTTGTGCGAAATAGCCTTAACTTCATAGCAGAAACGTGATGCTTTATATAGGTATGACCCTATGAGGTTGGACGAAATCTTTCTTCGATTTATGTTCCAAAACCTAAAAGAAATCGGATAAGGAAAAGAATCATTTTAGGAAATGGTTTCTTATTTGAATCTGACTCCTCAAATCTTCCTTTAATGCAAGCATTTTCATAATTGTTAAATCCTTTTTGAACACGAATTCCCTCCGCTAATAATTTTCTTGTAGCCCACGAATTTAATTTTTTAAGGAATCTGACTTGCATTAGGATTTGACTTTCCTTAAAAGACTCATTTACACGCTTTTCTTTTCCATGCAAGTATTCCTATAATTAATGAATCCTTGTTGACTACGAATTCCTCTAATTACTATCATACTTTCAGCCCACAAAATATCTCCCTCAAGGAATCCAAATTACAACAAAAATTCAGCTCAGCCGACTTGCACTAGAAATAAGCTTCCAGCTTCTGATCAACGTCTTCAAGGGACCTGGTTCTTTTGATATTTGTATGACACATCTGCAGCCCTGTATATCAGCACAACACATATCTTCACGAGATCTAGTACGCTGCCAGTTGTTGGTTAATCGTCAAAACCACTTCTAAGAACATATTCTTCAAACATCACCTTTAAGGGACATGGTTCTTCCATTGACACCATAACATATTTGTTCTACCAGTCCAGTAACATAATAACCTGTTCATAAAACCTGGTTCCTTCAATACGATAATCCTGGTTTGTTAATCATCAAAATATAAAACGTGCTCAACTAAAGAGGTACATAAATTGGGATAAAAGAAATAGACAAAGATGTGTTTAATTTGCTGTGCACATAGCTGTTAACATAAATAACTTCGGCATTGATTATTTTGTACAAACTAAACTTAACATTTAACTAAAATTTTTTCTTCTTCAAAAGAAGCTCTTGTACTCAAGAGTTACCTGATGCACCAATAATCGCCAAACACGAATTGAAATGAATTTTAAGAGAATACACTATACCACCACAAGTACCACCTTTTGTAATGCACAAGGACGAAATGGTTAAACATAATTTTTACAATTTAAATAGCAAATATATGTTCAATTTGTTTGTGCACATAGCTGATAATATAAATAAACCTTTGCCTTATTTATTTCGTACAAAGTAAATTTTACTTTTTACCATTTTTTTTCTTCAAAGGAAGCTCTTGTACTGAACATTTACCTGATGCACCCAATAATTGCCAAAGACAATTGAAATGAAAAATTTAAGACAATACATTATACCACTACAAATACCACCTTTTGTAATCATTTGATGTGCACAAGGACGAAATGTAACAAACAATTTAAATAGAAAAAAAAATTATAATTTTTTTTGTATTTTATTTTCAGCTTGTATAAATAAGATTCTTATCTAATACAAACTAAAAAGGATCTTTACACAAATAGCCAGACATATTCATGCTTTACTTTTTCTAGCCATATACATAAATTATATATTGATTATACACAACTATACACATATAATACATAAATTATGTATAAACTATACCTCCATCGGCTATTTTTTATTTAAGTAGCTAGATGAGCAGCTATTTGAGTTAATTCTTCACCTAAAAATAATGTGTAACGGATCACAAAGTCGATTGACCCGGACGGATCTACCTGTAATATATGAGTACACATGTACTGTTAGGGATCCGCCTCTTTGAGCTTGACTTGACAACGAGAGTGTTGTCATGGAGCAATATGAGTGTTGCCAAGCTAAGGTACACGAGCTAGCACCAAGGCAAAAAGAAAAACGTGCAAGTGATGGCCAAGGCTTCGAGGGAAGCAAGTCAGCTTGGCAATAGTTTGACAATGAGATGTGGTTTGAGGGTGACACTTGGGCATGACAAAGGCATGGGGCAGTGATGCCAAGGCAAGTCAAAAACGAATTTGACAAAGGCAGGCTAAGTGCAATGAAGGCATGCGCGCAAAGCAGACTTGTCATGACATTGGGGCGCGACAAAGGACTATGTGCGGGGTAATGACATGGGCTAAATGCGGCTGCAATGAACCTGAGAGTAAGGCATTGGTGCCTGATTCAAGACAAGGCACACACATGGGCATCAAGCTTCAGCTTGACCAAGTCAATGGTGGTTACAAAGCACATGCGCAGCAATTGGCTTTGTTCAAATCTGGCAGGCAGTTGCCATAACATTTTTGGAGCCATGTTTCCATTATATTAACATGATCTACATAATCCTAGTAGTTGGGGGATATCAACTACACTAGGCTAAAATAGTAGGTTGTGAGGGATAAATGTCTAAGTCTAAGTGCAACAAGTGTAAAGGCAAAGGGCTGTCACATGTTCTATAAATGTGCAACACCCTTATGCTTGTGGCATAGAGAAAAATGTGTGAGTGCATGTTTGAGTTAGGAAAGAGTTCCTAAGTTTATTTTCAAGAGTGAAAACGCCTAAGACTAAGAGTAGTCTTGTCAGAAAATATGAGGGTCAAGAGTGATCTTCTTGTACACTGCATTATACTTCGAGTTGAGTTTCTTTGTATGCTCGAGTTAAATACAAAGTTAGGAAAAGAGTTTCCTATATATTGTGCCTTGTGTTCTTATTTATTTACTGTTGCATTTACTTAAATTCGTAGCCTAAATCATTCCTAAATTTACTACGTTGAAAGATGCCTAAAATATTATAAGTCCAAAGTTGCTGTAATTACTTCATTCAAAAATGAAACTTGAATTTTTATAGAATCAAGTTCGAAAATCATTCCTATTTTGATCATTTCTTAGATTCTTTTGAATTGTATCGAATCCATTTTCGATTTTAAATCAAACAATTACCTTATCAAACTAGAAAACTTAATTTTGGCTAAGTGTTGTGAGAAGGATGAAGTTGGGCGTGAGGCCTGGCTGCAGCACAAACGGGTTTTGACGGACAAAAATCGTAAAAATAGCACGGGCTAGCCAGTTTTCGGACTGGTAATTGAAAAATAGCCAGCGTTTGCAAAGTCATTGAAAAATAACCACTATTTTGCTGCAACAAAGAAAGTTCCAGCATAATATACTGGAGATTGGTGCACCTGTGTATGAACTTCCAGCATATTATACTGGAACTCCAACACACTGAAAATTTCAGCATAATATATTGGAGATTGGAGCACTTGTGTATGAATTTCCAGCACATTATGCTGGACCGCTGAAATATTTTCCGGATTTTGAACAGTGTTTTCGTTAAGATTTATCTTTACATGAAAAGTGACTATTTTGATTATTTTTGAAACTTTAGCTATTTTTCAATTAACACTTGTAAATGTGACTATTTTTGAATTTCCTATCTAATATTATAAAATAATTTTTAAAAACTTTAAATATTAAATCCTCCTATATTTAGGCAGGCCCAACTTAATGCTGAATTTTCCCTCCAATTGGTCAGCCGAATTGAGAGTAAATGAGTATTTGTGGTTCGTTTATCAGTTGCAGTTTCACTCGGATAGTGAGCCATTTGGGAATTGTGCATTGAGACGCCACCTTTTACCACATAAAGACACAAACTGCAGTTCCCATCATCAGCTTGAGTAAGACAACACGTAACGAAAGAGAAAAAAAAGTTGAAACAATCAATTGAAGCAATCAAGGACTGCAAAACACAACTAGACAGAGAGAGAGAGGAGATCGAAAAATATTAGTTCTTCATACCAAAAGGGCAATTTCATAATCCGAATTGAGGTTGAACATGACGATGAAGAGGCCTTTGCAGTGTATGTTGAGAAGGATTTACACGAGAGGAGGAAGCTTTAGAAGTTTTAGAAGTTTTAGTGCACTTCCTGAAGGCAGCACCACAACTTCCCCTTCTCAAAATCTCATCAACTTGGAGTATGAGTGCAGTGCCCACAAGTAAAATTATCTCCCACTTCTTTACTGTTTCTTTGTTCAAATTCTAATTTCTTGTTTTTTTTAATTATATGTTTCATTTCCTTATCTGCGTCACTCTTGTTTTTTTTTTAAACTTCAAAATCGATTATATGTGAATTTATTTGACATCTTATGTTTCTAGGCTTCTGTGTTTTTCAAAGTCATTCCTTTTGTAGTTTCTCTCATTTTTTATTTGATAAGAGTGTAGTTTTTTGTTTGTCCTGTGATTGCAGATTTTAACTTATTCATGACTAGGTGATTGAAATGAAAGTACGCTTAATCTCATCCTTTAGTGTCTGCTTATCATCTTGTCTTTCTTAGCTTTTTTTTAGGTTCTTAAGAGTTGATTATGGTATTTTTCCTGGAGAAGTTGCTTCCTAGATAAACATCCTTTACAGTGTATTTTGGATTTGGGGGCCGGGGGGTTATGTTATAATTCTCCTTGTTGTTCCTTCTACTTCTTGCAACACTACATGCCATTAGTTCGATGTTGTGCAAGTTATTGTTATCAGGGAGATTTGGTTTTGTTGTCTATTACAAATGTTATTTTAGTTATATGACCCTTTTCATAGGATATCGGTAGAAAATAGCACGGTAGATTGTAAATAAAACACAAAAGATTTTTATAGGGTCATTTTCTTCTATTCAAATGGTAAGTGGGCGTAGGAGATCATTTCCTCCTGTTGGTTGTGTTGTGCTTTATTTTGCTGATGGATCAATTGTATGACCTGTAATTATGATCATAGTGTAAAGATGTCATTGCCTGTAGGTAATCCCAAGTCCTGAGATGGGAACACTAGTTGTAGTGGATAGGTATACAAGAAGTTGCAAAACTACAAATGCTAATGCAAGTTATTGGATCAATAGTTGATTTGCCAAACTCGTAGGCATTTCAATGCACTCAGGCGGATAGAATTGATTATCTTTATCCTAGCGTGCTTCTGGTGCACTTCAACATTGACCACCATGCTACTAGAGCTTTTTGGTATCAGTAGGAGTTGGGCTAGTCATAAAGAAGAAGAATGAAGAATAACGGTGCTTCTTGGAGTGAGTTCTTAGTTTTGCTAAGTTAGAGGCCTTGTTGAACTGTGAGATTTCACAAAATTTTAGTGGCTTGGATCTTGCAACTAAAGATAAGACCACCAAGGGGTTGACAAAATATAATTGGTTTGTTGTGATAATGCGGTCATACGGCTGCTGATATTTTCAACGAGATTTCTTATAGGAGGCTATTTGCGGCAGTGAAGAGCAAACAAGTAAGATGCATTAATTTTGTGGTCAATTGCTCATGCTTTTAGCAGGAGAAGGATTCCTTTTAACTGTGTGCTTAATGAGTGATCATATACCAATTTCTTGTTGCTTTATAGCAATGGATTTTCAGTCGCAGGAGTGCTCCACCGAAAGAGTTAGTCAAAAGGATCCTTGTAAGAAAGTTGAATTACAAGAAGTCTCTACGTTATCTGATGCGATATTTGGATCCAAGACTCATCTAGCTATTGAGAAGCTTGATGAAACTAGCGAGGGTGTCAACCTAAAAGCTTGAACTATGGAGGAGCACCTTAGAGAGTAAGGATTTTAGGATTAGTAGAAGTAAGGCTAAATACATGCTCTGCAAGTTTAGTCAGCATGAGAAGAGCGAAGTTGAGGTGAGACTAGATGGGATTGCGGTGCCAAAATGCAAATAATTTAGATATTTAGGCTCATCGTTTCAAGAAAATGGAATGATATTTATGTGTCTTACTTTTCTTTTTGTCTTTTTCCAAAATAATATCTCTTTCTATACTTAGTAACTCTTTAACTCTAACTTTCCACATGGTATATTTAATTCCACAAGATTCAAGGATATTTTGGTACATTACACACATCTTTATTTTAAGACCACAAGATTTAAATGTCTTCCTTACTTTTTAAAATTCCGTGCCCGCGCAAACTAAGACACATAAATTGAAACAGAGAGAGTATTACTTACTTTTTAAAATTCCGTGCCCGCGCAAACTAAGACACATAAATTGAAACAGAGAGAGTATTACTTACTTTTTAAAATTCCGTGCCCGCGCAAACTAAGACACATAAATTGAAACAGAGAGAGTATTACTCATTTATGTATTTAACTTATTTTTCAGTCTCACTTTTGTTTTATTTTGGTATGATGATAATATGAGTTGAGCTTAAAGAAAGAAGTGAGGATTCATATAGCCGACTCCAACTTGTTTGGGACTGAGACGTAGTTGTTATTTATTTACTCATGTGGCTCCCCAACCATTAAACTTTGGATTTACTCATTCATATGCACTAATCTAGATGGGTACAAAGGTTTGTTTCTTGTATATAGTTTTTGTTAGGGTGGAGAGCGTGGGTAGTGCGAAATTAGACAAAGCAAGTCGATAATGATGATAACTAAGGCAAATAATGGAGGCACAAAATATACGTGGTTCGGTAAGTAAGACCTAACCATGGGCATAGAGGAACAATTTCCCTGTATTAAGTATACAAAAGAGATTACAAAATTAGATATAATATTATAATTAATCTCAAAATACCTTGAGAGAATAACATCATAGAACACTTAAAAATGTTTTCTTAACACTTAACTCTTCTAAAAAATACTCTCTTTTGATACAAGAGAAAAGATACTATATTGTTTCTCAATTTCTGAAGGGTGCTTCAAAAGTAAGAAATGGTTGACTATGCATAACAAAATTTTAGGAAATTGCTTGGCCAATATTTGGCCAACAATTCTCAAGTTGTTTGGTTAGATATTGGGTAACAATTCTCAAATTGTTTGCCCAAAATATTAACTAACAATGCTTCGTGTTGAGAGGTAAAAAATAGGCCACGTAACAAATTGGTATACGAGCACGCCAACAAGAGAGGTATATGACACATGTACCCTATTCTTAGTATGGACCGGACTATTATGCATGCAATGGTGTGTACATGGCCAGACTTTTGAAAAGCCGTGATTATGGTAAGCCGATAATGGGGACTTTATGGAGAAGGTGGAGAAAATTTGCTATATTAGTCAAAAATAGGCCAAGATGGAGATTTGTTACGTGGCCTATTTTTGGCCTTTCAACATTAAACATTGTTGGCCAATATTTCGCCAAACAATTCGGGAATTGTTGGCCAAATATTCGCCAAGCAACTTTATAATCTTCAGTTATAAATAACCAATCATTTCTCACTTTAGAGGCACCTTAAAACATTACGTAACATTTCTAGTGTTTGTTTCTTGTATCAAGATAAAGAGTATTTCGTGAGAGAGTTAAGTGTTGGAGTTATACTAGTGTGGTTCTCTTTGTGAGTGTTTTGCGTGAGGTTATTCTTTCCGGATATTTCAGGGTTAATTATAATGCTATATCTAATTTTCTTATTTTTTCTGTATAGTTGATGATATAATGGAATTGCTCCTCCCTACATAGTTCTTATTGACCGACTACACAAGTTTTGTGCCTCCTTTTTTTGCTTTACTTACCATTACTATTGGCTTACTTTGTCTATTTTTGCACTACCCGGACTCCCAACCCTAACATATTGATATTAGAATCAAGTTAATCCGAGTTTTGTCCCAGTGTCACCATGGGGTTAACATAGGCATATGTTGACAAACTCGATTGCAATGCTAATTTCAACACATGGAAACTCAATATGCAGGCTATCCTGATCTAGGATGGTGTAGATATTGTCCTGCAGGGAGGCAAAAAAGCTGGAGAAAATGACGGATGAGGAGTTTGTCAGGCTTGACAAAAAGCCAAATTCAGGTATCGTAGAGTGCTTCCACGCTCTTCTACATTCACCTCCTTGCCATGATCTGGCATCATTAGAAGTTGGCTACTTGTAAAGAGGAAGAATGAAGACTAGCAATGCATCTTGAAGAGAGTTCTTAGTTTTGAGAAGCTAGAGTCTAGTTGATTTGTGAGTTTTCACAAAATTTTATGACTTGGATTTTAGAACCAGGAAATGAAAAAAATTTGAAGTGATTCTGCCAACCCTCTATTCAGGGACAAGGAAATGAGAATACCAGGGTGTTGACAAGACACAAGATAACTGGTTTGTTTTGATGCTGTATGTGGTCATATTGCTGGCGATATACTTTCAACGAGATCTCTTATAGGAGGCTATGCAGCAGTGAAAAGCACAGTTAAGATGCATTAAGTGGTCAACTGCTCATGCTTTGAGCAGTGTGTGCTTAATAAGTGATTATATCCCCGTTACCTTACTTTATCCAAAAAAAAGAGGGATTATATCTCCAATTTCGTGTTGTTTTCTAGTAATGGCTTTTCCATTTGAGGAGTAAGAGAGTTGAATTACACAAGTCTCTACTTAATCTGTTGCGATCTTTGGACCTAGGAGTCATGTGGCTTCTGGACCATTAAACTTTGGTTTACTCGTTCATGTGCACTAATGTAGACGGGTACAAATATTTCTTTTGTGTGCATATACTTTTGCATCTGGTTGTAGATTCTCTTTTCACTCCTTTTTACTTTTTTTAAAACTAAATTCAGCGCATCCATTTTGGACAAGGAAAAAATAATCTTAGGTGTTGCACTTTAACTTAGCCACTAAAGGTAATTGGAAGTAACACTAGGTTAATAGATTGTAGCTAATATTTTTTTTTAGATATTTTTTTGCGAGTGTTTGCTAATGTCACAGCCCAAACCATGTCAGCTCTTGTTATTTAATGAACAAATTACTATTACGTGGCTGGTATAGCGTTGAAATACTTATTTTTCTGATCGAATTGCAGTTACCATCCGATTCCTATTGTCTTTTCTAAAGCTAAGGGTTCATCCATCTGGGATCCTGAAGGGAAAAAGTATCTTGATTTCCTCTCAGCTTATTCTGCTGTCAATCAGGTAAAAAGATAAAGGAAAAATAATGGACAAATTGGTATCTCTTATCAAGTGTTTCCTAAAAATATGTAGAATCAACATTGTACTATTCTTTTATTGGGCTTCTGGCACGCACTTGCCCTACTCCGTAGATCCTCTTCTTCAGTTGAAGAATTGCAGGGAGGTGTCATCACCTTTCTTCCCATGCATACAGTTCATGGCTCTTGGTTTTATTTATCTGATATATCTGACATAATGTATTGGTACAGATAATCAGCTAGCTCGTCTTACTTAATATATGGTATTAGTAAAAGAAACTAGTAAAGTAGTCACTAACACGGATCGACTTTAGCAGGTTCATTTTATTCTTATTAATACCTGTCTTTTCTCTAAATAATAGAATATATATTTTATCAAATATTTTATTCAAATACTTGCAACCAGACAAATGAGTTGCTAAATGTAAGGCTTTCAAATATTAAGTCTGCAGAGCTTCCAAAATTTCATGAGTGTGTGTAAAATTCATACCTTCCCATATGCACCAAAAAATAGAGTGCTTAAAAAAATATGCTTTACCCTGTTCATAGCACTAGCTTGTCCTTCAAGTTCAAGACACCTCATGTATATCTCTTTCTACATTTCGTATTATGCAAACAGATTAGTGTACCACATTTCCCTGATTATGTTGTTTGGGGCTCTAGGGCCCCTCCGCATAGATAAGCATTTATGGACTTCTCTAGGCACCACTTGTTGCATTCCAAATAATGCCACGGCATATTCCACATCTCCGTTGCTGCGTCATAGTGCAAAAGTAGGTGTCAGGCCGTTCCCTACTCTCTTAGTGATGCTCTTGTCCTCCACACCACTTTCATCTGAGTACAGCGGTTGAGAATTCAACTTGACTTAATCTAATATTTGTCATAGTGGAAGAAAATAGTATCGAAATGTTACTTTCATAAGGTTTACATTACACAATTGCTTAGTTTTGAACTAATAAATGGATTTGTTCTGATAAGCATATTAAATATTGTTGAGACGTCCCAAAGTCAGGTGTCACATTTAAAGAATAGAGAAGTACTATGCAAGATTTTCAGACTGAATTAAAGTTAACTTTATTTTCAGGGACACTGTCATCCAAAGATCATGAAAGCTTTAGCAGAACAGGCTCAAACGCTCACTCTTAGTTCTCGTGCCTTCTATAATGATAAGTTTCCAGTATTTGCAGAATATATAACCAGCATGTTTGGATATGATATGGTGCTACCTATGAACACTGGTGCAGAAGGAGTAGAAACAGCTCTTAAGCTGGCAAGGAAATGGGGTTCCATGAAGAAAAGAATACCAAAAAATGAGGTAAAGAAAATATACCATCCTGTTGATACTTCATGCATTTGGTGTATGTCAGGAGGTCGTACTTTAGCAACTTCCCAGTAGTTTGCCTAATTACTTGGGTCACAGATTAGTTAAGTTATAGATAGATCTCTTAGGATAGGTGCATGAAAAGCAATTGCCTCATCTAATGAGAGTAAATTAATGGTCAAAAGGAGTAAAATAAAGTGATTCTTCTGGCCAGTACCCTTTTTTATAAGTCCCC